CCCGGGCGCCGCAGCATAAATGGCTGCCCACTGCTCCGGGTGTGTGTTCACGGTGTGTGTGTTCACTGCTGTGTGTGTGCACTTTGGATGGGATAAATGCAGAGCACTAATTCCGAGTATGGGTCACCATACTTGGCCACATGTCACGTCACTTTCACTGTCACTTTCATATTTACTAAAACTGCATTAACCACGAATAAAATATAAACAAACAAATGAGTCACTGAACCAGACATAAACATCCCTTTGTTACCTGAGAGAAACTAAGAAAATATTTCAGAAAAGCATGTATGATAACAGCATTTGAACACGTTGTTGGTGGCACAAAAGAAAACATCCCTACAGGATCCCAGGATTCCTGGAGCTTAACTGATAGAAAATATCTCAACCATGAATATGTGAAAACCATGAATATGTGAAAACAACTTCAGTCCAAGCACTTAAACCAGTCTATAGGTGGCGCTCTTCATCACATGCACTGCAGAATACACTGAACTCCTCTTTGACCTCAAGTCTCTGGAGACCAGCGCAGCATTACGGGGCTTATAGACCATCAGCAGACAATTAAAGAGCCCAGCGTACGCACACAAACACCAGCGCGGATGGAAATGTCACTTCCTGTGCAGCGATGTGTTCCACACGCATCTGTAGAAAGACTAATTAGCCCAGAGAACGACACACACCGCTGAGTTTGACTCTCACTCTCACCAGCGGCGCTTATAACACACCACAACTAACACACAGAACAATATTCCTGAATTTACTTCATTATCTATCTATCTATCTATCTATCTATACATTCTTTCCCTTATTTTGTATACTCTTTCGTGTATTTTCTCACATTTATGCTTATTTATTTACCGTGTTTAATTAGTACAACAGAACTCATACTAAAATAACTACTATTGCAGTACCATGCTACAGTGGTGGTTTTACTGCGGTACTTTGATATATTCAATGCCAATGGTGCTAAATGATTACCGTATATATGTACCATGGTATTTAAATGGCACTCCAAAGAATACTGTGAAACTACTATGGTACATGTCCAAAAACTACGGTATTATATGGTATGGTATGGTATAAATGGTATTATGATGAAAAACCATTGTAAAACTATGGTGCATGTGTAAAACTATGGTATTATGTGAAAAATACATGGTGTTATGATGAAAAACCATTGTAAAACCATGGTATATGTCCAAAAACTATAGTTTTGTGTGCAAAAACATGGTATTGTGACAAAAAAACACTGTAAAAACATGGTATTTGTCCAAGAACTATGATATTATGTGAAAAAACATGTATTGTGATGAAAAAACACTGTAAAACCTGTAATAAAAAATGATATTATGTGAAAATAGTATATGGATACATATGTGTACATATGATTAAGCTTCCTTTTAAGACGCCTTGTTTCAGACAATTTGTAAGGTAGCATTACATGTATCTATTGCAAGGCAATCCCAGAATGCATTGCAATGTGTTTCATGAAGTAAAAAAAAAAAAATCAAGGAGGTCAATATAATACCTGGCGTCTCTATCCATTAGCATTCCCATTCATCTCAATGGCAGATGTTCAGCTGCTGCAGGAGCTCCATTATTACATCATTAAGTCTTAAAGTAACAGCAGCAAAAGTCATGAAAAACTACAGAGACCTGGAAAGACCTCTATAAAGTCTGAAAGAAATCCTGCAAACTGTTCAGAGTCTCTGAAATGAAAGGAGTGAAGGAGAGAGGAGCGACACACTGACACACTTTCAGCCGTGGGTGTGTGCGAACACGCTCACCTCGTTTACACCATCTCACGCTCTCAAACGCCAAACATTCACTTACGCGATGAGAGCTTGTGTTACTGAACACACAAAAATCTGAACGCTACAGCTCCAAAGAGAAGATTCACAACACTAAACACCACATCTGAGGATCTCATCTGCTGTGCACCTTCAGAAGCAGAAGCATGGACACCAGAGGACGCAACACAAAGGAAAAACCCACAAGATATTGAAAAATAATCCAAAATAAAGCAAATAAAAGCACAGCGGAAGGAGAATCAACTCTAGAAACCACAAGAAATACTTGAAGAAACACAGAAGTTCTCTGAGACAGCACATAATCGGTTGGGTTTCCAACAGATCCTCAAATCATGGACTATTTCTATTTTATTAATCGCCTAATTCTGTTAAAGTAGTGGTTTTGGTGATGCTTCAATGCAGAAACGTGATCTACAGAAGCTCATCAGACCCACGTGATCTTCATCGGTCTGATTAAAACGATCCATCCGGAGGAGATTCGTCAAAACTCCTCGTTACAGAACAACGGCAGCAATTAACCGAGTGAATCTCCCGTCATACACTCAGCGGAACATTTCAGGTTTTATTAGGACCCAGAATCGTTTTCTACGAGCGCTAATGAGACCACCGTGAACATGACGAGCGTGTGTGTGTGATACAGAGGCTATTAAAGCTCTTCAGCGTCATAAGAGTTAATGAAACACGCAGCAGAGAATCAATCAGCAGCTCCTACAGGAGAAGATCAACGCTGGATCATCTTCAACATTACAGGCCTTCAGCTCGGTGGGAATCAGCACTGATCGTGTTTGGATGTGCTGTTGGTTATAGACTCACTGTTTGACTGTTTATAATCAGCAAAATCAGATCTCCAAAAAAATCAACCTCAGGAACATCAACTGCTCCGTTTGTGTATTTGCTCACACTTATGCTTATTTATTTACTACTACAACAGAACTAGTTCTACAATAACTACTATGGTGGTACCATGGTACAGTGGTTGTTTTACTGTGGTACTTTGATATATTCAATGCCAATGGTGCTAAATAATTACCATATACTGTACATGTACCATGGTATTTGAATGTTACTCAAAAGAATACAGTGAAACTACCATGGTGCATGTCTGAAAACTGTGGTATTGTGTCAAAAAGATACATGGTTTTACAGTACAGCACATATCCAAAACACCAAGATATTACTGCACCTTTATAGTGTGAAACATCTAGAGTGCCAAGTCCCAAAGAGGTAAAACCATGGTACATGTCCAAAAACTATGGTATTATGTGAAAAATACATAAGACTACCCTTAAAAACCATTGTAAAACAATGGTACATGTCCAAGAAATATGGTATTATGTGGGATGAGAAAACAACACAAAATACCATGATCAAAGATACACAGTATTACCACAAAAAAAACATTGTAAAACCATGGTAAATGTCTAAAAACTCTGACGCTATGTGAAAAATATATGGTATTACCAAATAAACTTAGTAAAATCATGATGCATATCCAAAAAATGTGGTATTGTGAAAAATACATGGTATTACCATGAAAAACCATTGTAAAACTATGGTACACATCCCAAAATTATGGAATTATGTCACAAATACATTATATTTCTATGAAAACCAAAAAAACTATGGTATTAAGTGAAAACATACATGGTATTTCCATGAAAAGCAATGTAAAACCATGGCACATCTCCAAAAATACATGGTATTACCATGAAAAACCACTGTAAAACCATGCTACATGTCCAAAAATACATGGTATTACCATGAAAAACCACTGTAAAACCATGGTACATGTCCAAAAATACATGGTATTACCATGAAAAACCACTGTAAAACCATGATACATGTCCAAAAATACATGGTATTACCATGAAAAGCCACTGTAAAACCATGGTACATGTCCAAAAATACATGGTATTACCATGAAAAACCACTGTAAAACCATGGTACATGTCCAAAAACTATGGTACTGTTTGACAAATACATGGTATTACCATGAATAAGCATTGTAAACCATGCTACATGTCCAAAAATACATAGTAGTACCATGTAAAACCATGCAAAACGCAGCAAGCCTCAATACCTATAGAGAATTGTCATAAAAAAGCCATTGTAAAACCACGGTACATGTCCAAAAACCAATGCTACTGCCATGGTACAAACAAATAAGTATGGTAGCATGCCTAAAAGCAAACATGGTATTACCACAGTACCAAGTGCAGAAACCTGACAGATGAGAAACTCTGTGATCAGCAGCACAAGCCTTCTGAATCTCAGGTAAGTAGCGTGTCTCACCTGTGAGATCTCGTACAGTAGTTTGTAATGCTCCTCTCTCTTCTGTAAACTACACAGATTGCAGCCCATCCTCGTGCTCAGGGATACGGCAGCCGTCTCGCTCTCCCTCCAGAACGGCTCGCACACACACAGCGCCTCTCATCCGTGTGTCACCGCACAGACCTGCATGCACAACCGCAGCCTCTGGCATCTGACAGTGTGTGAGAGATCCGCACACACACATGGACACGCCCCCTTCAGCAGCTCAGCCTGTGAATAATGATGAGAGGGGTGTGGCTACATCAGTGGGAGGAGTCAGTGAGCATCAGCGCTCAAACAATGAGGCTCTTTTGTGTCAGTAACACTGATGTCACACACACACACACACAGTCAGCACTGGTCAGATTGTGTGTGTTGTGGTGGAGATTTTAAGTGTTTTTTTGTCTTAAACTGTTATTACTGGTTGGGGAGACGCAGCTCACAATGGAATTGATCAGAAGCTTTTCTACATAATGTGCAAAAAGCAAAGTAGGTCACCAACCAACTAACCAAACCATAGGGACTTCACACACACACACACACACACACACACAACCATACATACATGAAACAACCTATGAAATATGAATATTATCCATGCACATTTAGCCAAAAGCAATAGCTGGTAATTTTATTTTTATGGCTGATCATAAATCTATACTATTTGTAAAACAGGGTTAGGCTGTACAAGCAAACTCAGACATGATAATGTCCAGTTGGTAACCATGTACAAAAACTATGGTATTATGTGAAAAAAAATAAAACAACACAGTATCATGACCAAAAATACACAGAATTACCATTGTAAAACCATGGTACAGGTATATTTCCAAAAACTATGGATTTATGAGAAAAACACAGCAAGCATCAATACCAAAAATACAGGGTATTACCTTAAAAAAAATGAGACTATGGTATTGTTTAAAAAAATGCATGGCATTACCATGAAAAATCATTGTCTCAGGGATACGGCAGCCGTCTCGCTCTCCCTCCAGAACGGCTCGCACACACACAGCGCCTCTCATCCGTGTGTCACCGCACAGACCTGCATGCACAACCGCAGCCTCTGGCATCTGACAGTGTGTGAGAGATCCGCACACACACATGGACACGCCCCCTTCAGCAGCTCAGCCTGTGAATAATGATGAGAGGGTTGTGGCTACATCAGTGGGAGGAGTCAGTGAGCATCAGCGCTCAAACAATGAGGCTCTTTTGTGTCAGTAACACTGATGTCACACACACACACACACAGTCAGCACTGGTCAGATTGTGTGTGTTGTGGTGGAGATTTTAAGTGTTTTTTTGTCTTAAACTGTTATTACTGGTTGGGGAGACGCAGCTCACAATGGAATTGATCAGAAGCTTTTCTACATAATGTGCAAAAAGCAAAGTAGGTCACCAACCAACTAACCAAACCATAGGGACTTCACACACACACACACACACACACACACAACCATACATACATGAAACAACCTATGAAATATGAATATTATCCATGCACATTTAGCCAAAAGCAATAGCTGGTAATTTTAGTTTTATGGCTGATCATAAATCTATACTATTTGTAAAACAGGGTTAGGCTGTACAAGCAAACTCAGACATGATAATGTCCAGTTGGTAACCATGTACAAAAACTATGGTATTATGTGAAAAAAAATAAAACAACACAGTATCATGACCAAAAATACACAGAATTACCATTGTAAAACCATGGTACAGGTATATTTCCAAAAACTATGGATTTATGAGAAAAACACAGCAAGCATCAATACCAAAAATACAGGGTATTACCTTAAAAAAAACGAGTAAAACCATTGTTTAAGACTATGGTATTGTTTAAAAAAATGCATGGTATCACCCTGAACAACCATTGTACATGTTCAAAAATGCATGGTATTACCATGAAAAATCATTGTAAACCAATTGGTGAATGTCTAAATATACATGGTATCATGTAAAACTATGGTATTATGTGAAAAAAAAGCAGTCAGAATCAATACCAAAAAATAGACAAACATGTATAAAACGTTTACATCACTCCATATTTATCACATACTTATCACTTATAAACTTTTAAAGATATGTATCGTAATTGAAATCTACAGACACAAGTAGATAAAGTGTCATAAAATAAACACTTAAATGTTTTCTTAACACTAACCTGAAAGAAGACATGATATGGAAGCAACACAGACCATAGTGTCTCGCCCTAATGAAACGTCCAGATGCTGAGCTGAAGAGCATCATCATGTCCATCACAGCAGGTGTGATTGTGTGCTCTCACAATCAGACGAGACAAACGACACGCTGAGAAGAGATGCTACAGAATTAACCAGCTGTAATTGTTCTGTAATTGGCCCTGGAGCTCACCATCACACACACACAACACACAAACAAACACACAAAAACACACACACAAACACAAAAACACACACACACACAAACACACAAAAACACACACACAAACAAACACACAAAAACACACACACAAACACAAAAACACACACACACACAAACACACAAAAACACACACACAAACAAACACACAAAAACACACACACAAACACAAAAACACACACACACACAAACACACAAAAACACACACACAAACAAACACACAAAAACACACACACAAACACAAAAACACACACACACACAAACACACAAAAACACACACACAAACAAACACACAAAAACACACACACAAACACAAAAACACACACACACACAAACACACAAAAACACACACACAAACAAACACACAAAAACACACACACAAACACAAAAACACACACACACACAAACACACAAAAACACACACACAAACAAACACACAAAAACACACACACAAACACAAAAACACACACACACACAAACACACAAAAACACACACACAAACAAACACACAAAAACACACACACAAACACAAAAACACACACACACACAAACACACAAAAACACACACACAAACAAACACACAAAAACACACACACAAACACAAAAACACACACACACACAAACACACAAAAACACACACACAAACAAACACACAAAAACACACACACAAACACAAAAACACACACACACACAAACACACAAAAACACACACACAAACAAACACACAAAAACACACACACAAACACAAAAACACACACACACACAAACACACAAAAACACACACACAAACAAACACACAAAAACACACACACAAACACAAAAACACACACACACACAAACACACAAAAACACACACACAAACAAACACACAAAAACACACACACAAACACAAAAACACACACACACACAAACACACAAAAACACACACACAAACAAACACACAAAAACACACACACAAACACAAAAACACACACACACACAAACACACAAAAACACACACACAAACAAACACACAAAAACACACACACAAACACAAAAACACACACACACACAAACACACAAAAACACACACACAAACAAACACACAAAAACACACACACAAACACAAAAACACACACACACACAAACACACAAAAACACACACACAAACAAACACACAAAAACACACACACAAACACAAAAACACACACACACACAAACACACAAAAACACACACACAAACAAACACACAAAAACACACACACAAACACAAAAACACACACACACACAAACACACAAAAACACACACACAAACAAACACACAAAAACACACACACAAACACAAAAACACACACACACACAAACACACAAAAACACACACACAAACAAACACACAAAAACACACACACAAACACAAAAACACACACACACACAAACACACAAAAACACACACACAAACAAACACACAAAAACACACACACAAACACAAAAACACACACACACACAAACACACAAAAACACACACACAAACAAACACACAAAAACACACACACAAACACAAAAACACACACACACACAAACACACAAAAACACACACACAAACAAACACACAAAAACACACACACAAACACAAAAACACACACACACACAAACACACAAAAACACACACACAAACAAACACACAAAAACACACACACAAACACAAAAACACACACACACACAAACACACAAAAACACACACACAAACAAACACACAAAAACACACACACAAACACAAAAACACACACACACACAAACACACAAAAACACACACACAAACAAACACACAAAAACACACACACAAACACAAAAACACACACACACACAAACACACAAAAACACACACACAAACAAACACACAAAAACACACACACAAACACAAAAACACACACACACACAAACACACAAAAACACACACACAAACAAACACACAAAAACACACACACAAACACAAAAACACACACACACACAAACACACAAAAACACACACACAAACAAACACACAAAAACACACACACAAACACAAAAACACACACACACACAAACACACAAAAACACACACACAAACAAACACACAAAAACACACACACAAACACAAAAACACACACACACACAAACACACAAAAACACACACACAAACAAACACACAAAAACACACACACAAACACAAAAACACACACACACACAAACACACAAAAACACACACACAAACAAACACACAAAAACACACACACAAACACAAAAACACACACACACACAAACACACAAAAACACACACACAAACAAACACACAAAAACACACACACAAACACAAAAACACACACACACACAAACACACAAAAACACACACACAAACAAACACACAAAAACACACACACAAACACAAAAACACACACACACACAAACACACAAAAACACACACACAAACAAACACACAAAAACACACACACAAACACAAAAACACACACACACACAAACACACAAAAACACACACACAAACAAACACACAAAAACACACACACAAACACAAAAACACACACACACACAAACACACAAAAACACACACACAAACACAAAAACACACACACAAACACAAAAACACACACACACACAAAAACACACACACACACAAACACACACACACACACACACACATCAGCTGACGATCAGTCAATTCCCTTTGGGAGAAAACAATCGGATTTGCTGGCTTTAATTTTACTCAGATGCCCCGCGGGCAAAACATGAGGCACAAAACCACACACCTACACACAGTACCATACCACAC